TGCTCCATCCCATGGTTCTGAAAATGTAAATTGATAAAAACCGTCGAGGGGAATTTTATCGATATGAGTGTTCAAGCCACCGACCTGTGATTGCCGTTAGCCTATGTTCCTTTGTCCGATTTAGTGTTCATTGTCGGATTACTGTGTAAAATGTTTCTAGCCCAAAGAAGAAGCCTGTGTTCCAATTGTACGATGCAAACAATATAGTATGCTTCTCACAGAATGTCAGTGAACGGTACTCCCTGAGGACGGCTGACGCATAAGGTTTCCTCAGTGTTCCTCCAGGACAGTTGATGGGTTTTTTTGCTAAACGGGCATAGGATACCCAATACTGACTCGTTTTGCTCATGCTAAAATGTGGCTTAAGTAAATGGATTACATTACGGAAGCGCAAGCCTTTTTGCAGTACAATTACTACTCTTGCTGGCGAGGCATATTGCGTTATTTCTAGTTTTTAGACTGGCTGCAAGAGATAATTCGTAAGCATTTATTTGCTCCTTTTAATCCTTTTTAGTCAACGTACGCTTCGAATGAACGCTAGCTGTGCTGGTATCTGTTTCAGCACGTAATTAACGAATTGCGTAGCATCAAAGACAATTTTTCTTTTTTAGGACTACGAATCAGTAACTGACCAAGGTACTACCAAAAGTCCGTCGGCCTATTCAGCTTCTGATGAAGGGGCTCCCGCCGCAAGTGATTTCGTTATGGCGGATCCCATTGGCACATTCCCCGTCCCAGCGATGAACGCCACCAGCATCCCCTCTGACAACTTGTTCGAACGTTTTCGATGGAATGCTTACCCTGCAAAAACTCAACCAAATACAGTCCCAATTTTTGATAAGACAACTATGCTTGATATACCATTGTTCAGGCCGAATAAAGAGTCATAGTTCTTTTTGACTTTGAAACCTTGTTTATTTATACTAATGTCGGTATTCCAAAAAAGCCGCCACATTTGAGTTCGTTATGGGCTTGCCGGGACATGTGCTTATGAGACTACGTTTCCGCGGGTGTCCTCGTGTCTTAAGAATAAGTTGTCGCTTTTTACACGAAGTTCCTGAAAAGACTAATGAGGTTTGTATAAATATGAAAATAGGAACTTTTATTGCAGAGAAAGGTTGTGGGTCTCGTTGGTGCTTTCGTTTGTGGAAGACCACATGGAGGTCAATTGTCCCCCGCTCTTGAATTTGTCGACGAGGTTTTTCTTAAAAATGGATTAAGAGAACGGATTGCCAAGTACTATTTAATTTTCATGCATATTTGTACTTCAGGATATTTTATCCAAAAAACGTGGGTTGTGTTGACACATTTCCTGCGACGTTTCTTCAGAACAACTATAGGATCGCGTATGCGGGTCTCAATTTGCGATCCTCGAGTAGTAGCACAGACACACAGGATCGCATAGTGTGGCCGCGTCTTACTTTTGGAGGCATGCGTTCATGCATTGGGAAGAGCGTTCAGCTCCTCCAAGTAAGTTTGCCCCTGGTGTCCGTTTTATTTCGAAGCTACATTAGTCAACATTAACCGTGAGATCACCGGTTAACCTAAAATCTAACGAAATGGATTGGCATACATAATAAATTGATAGGTTTGTAAATGGCATTTGAATATCGTGACTCAGTTTGATACACGCTTTAGTCTTTCTAAGGAGTATTTCCTATTAGTTCTGACATTCGTACCATGTACTGCGCCGTATTTACGACTACTGAACTACTTAAACCACCTGTCATCATGTCCACATTACTCTTAGTACATATCTTTGAGCCTGGCCATAAAAATTAAATAGCATTTCGCTTAATGCCTCTTCATTGCATTGACATTGTAAACTGCAGCTACTAAGATTGACATGTTGTTGTATGTTAAGGGTGTTTTCCGAGTGTGCCTATGGAAAACGAAATAATCCTTATTCCCTCATTATCCCATATTCCTTCATGATCGATTCTTTGTCTGTGATGCCGGAGGCAATTCACTGATATCTTCAGCGTCCGCTTCTACACGTCCGATCCCCCTTTAGCCATATTCGCTGACACTCAGCTCCCTATAATTTAAAAGAAGTCAGACATTAATAAGAAATATCTTAAATGAATTTGAATTGGTGGCAAATATGCATAGTTAGTGTAAAAAAATTAAAATTCATTTTAAATACTCGTAATAGCAAAAATCGAAAACTGATGGCTGCGGAATGTTGATTAGTTGGACAAGTTACTTTGAGGTGACTTCGCCGACTGGAGATCGGTCCAAAAAATGGGTCAAGATTGTTTAAATTAGTACGAAGTGGTTTTATTTGCTTCATCGACCAATACTTCAGACTACTTGACGTTGCTAAACTTGGATCTTGTTTTTGTGGGGAGTGATTTAGGGATTCTGTTCGGAATTACTTCTCGGCTGGATAGTCACAAAATGTTTTTTTTTGAAGGATTATACTTAAGGGAGAGAACTCCTTGCACTTTTACGATTAATTCCCAAAGTTAGCTAAATGTATTAACATATATACCATTCTGTTTAAGGCCAGACCGTCCAATTATTCGCCTACCGTCATTAATCGGCCGCTGGTTGTTAGCACCCTCTGTGTCGCGGCCATCTGAGTCCTAATGTTCTACTCATACTGATGATGAAAATTCAATTCGCCCTGATTTGCCAGGAACGTGCTCGTTTCATTTTATGAGTTCGAGGAAACTCGTCTTGGGCCAGAACACTATTTCTATACAATACACAATCCACTCTCCATTATATTCACCAATTCCATCTGTCCAGTTAGGTTGCTAAAGAAAAATTCACATATCTTCCTTCTAGCGTCAGGGAATATCTGAAATTTTTGTTGACCCGTTGACAAACGCGGAAGCGGCCTCTGAAGCAGCCCACTTAGCGGTCTTTCGTTTTGACGAACTCAAAAGCCATGCCAAGCAGTTACTCAAGCCGACCATCTCGTGCTTCACCGCTCACCTGGACAATGATCCCGATGGATTTTCCGCAAAAGAAAAGTGTGTTTATTATTATGTATTTATATTAATTTCTTTGGTTACTTTTCAGTCGACCTCTTCCCATGGATGGGTTTAAGCTCTGCTCATCACACACTTTACCTTAGTAATCCCATGTGGTCGCTCCTGACTTCAAGCCCTAGTCGGACTACCTGAATAATTCTTCGCTCATATTCACGAGCTGCAGCCTCCCATTATTTGCTGAAAATCCTATTAAGTATTCGGTCTGATGAAACATGCTCCATGGCTAACGCCTGCGTTCTGCGTTCCCAGACACAAGTTTTTCAAAGTCTATTGAGCATATTTGGATCACTTCGTCGCACCCAAACATCCAATTCGGAAACCTGTAATAAATGTCATCCCTTCTGATCATCGCAGCCTGTCATTTCAGTAGATGGATATAATCTACCCAACAATGTTTGTTGTCAAAATTTCCCACATGTCCGTAAGGTAAAACGACGGGGCCATTATTCATTTTCATCCAACTGTGCTCTCTTAATACGTGAACATGCTTATTTCGATCAGTTTTCTAGAAAGCCGTTCTGATTAGAGACTTCCAGTTTAACATTTCATTTTTCCAAGGACAAGCAGACTCAACTATGCATTTTAGGTCGCCATCGCAA